GGGAGTGGTGTTATTGACACTAAGCACCACCGTGGCCTCTAGTGGTGAGGGGCATATATGGGGTCATGGTGGGCATCATCAAAGTGTAATGTCAGGGCTCTGGGACGAGGAGTGAAGTTGGAGGTTGAGTTCCATGTGGTGAGTTTCCACATGGGGAGTATGAGTGAAAATGGGATGTCCAGGAAAGTAAAACAGTAAACAGGTGACCAGAATGGACTGTGAGTATTGAAGAGAAATCATACTGGACTTGAGACATTGACTCTCTTTCTCTCTGTCCCCCAAATGCTGCCAAACCTGCTGAGTTTCTCCAGCACTTTCTGTTTTTATTTCAGATTTCCAGCATTCACAGTCCTTTGCTTTTAAACCAAGATAAACATAGAAAATAGGAGCAGGAGTAGGCCACTCAGCCCATTGAACCTGCTTCACAACTTGATATCATCATGGCTGATGATCCAATTCAGTACCGTCCCTTGTTCCCACTTTCTCTCCATACCCTCTGATCCCTTCAACCGTAATAACTTTATCTAATTCCTTTCCAACAACGTTCAATGCTTTGGCCTCAACCACTTTCTGTGGTAGAGAATTCCACAGGCTCGACTCTCTATCTGTTAGAATTTTTATGGGTTTCTGGAGATCAGTCCTCATCCTTCTAATCTCCAGTGAATATGATCCTTACCGATCCAGTCTCTCTACATCAGACCTACAATTCCCCCCTCCAGAAGTCAACCTGGCAAACCTTTGTAGCCCTCCTTCCATAGGTAGAACATCCTTCCACAGATAACAAGACCAAAACTGCACACATACTCCAGGTGTGGTCACATTGAGCCCTGTTCAATTGCAGCAAGACATTCCTGCCCCTGTACTGGCATCCTCTCGTTATGAAGGGCGACATACTATATGCCTTCTTCACCACCTGCTGTACCGGTATGAATATTTCCAAGGACTGATGCATGAAGACATCCAGGTCTTGTAGTACTTCCCCCTTTCCCAATCTATCGCCAAACATGTAATAATCTGAGATAGTAGGAACTGCAGATGCTGGAGAATCTGAGATAACAAGGTGTAGAGCTGGATGAACACGGCAGGCCAAGCAGCATCATAGGAGCAGGAAGGCTGATGTTTCAGAAAATAATCTGCCTCATTTTTTCTGAAGAAGGGTCCAGACCTGAAATGTCAGCTTTCCTGCTTCTCTGATGCTGCTTGGCCTGCTGTTTTCACGCGGCTCTGCACCTTGTTATCTCAGATTCTCCAGCATCAGCAGTTCCTACTATCTCTAATAATATGCCTCTCTGTGTTTGCGACAAGCACTGGCCTCTGGCATAAAAGAAGCCCACAGTTGAGAGCAGTGCATATAATCTGAACTCGATGTTGCGTCTAGAAGGCTGTAAATTGCCTAGTCAGAAGATATAATGCCGTTTCTCCAGTTTACGTTGAGATTTATTGGAACAGTGCATCAAGCCAAGGACATAAATGTGGAGATCTTTCATGATGGAAAGAGTAGAGGCAGTTCTGTGACTGAGTATTTAAAGTTTCATGCCTTTGCAACCAGTCATTCTCATGCCCCATCATAGCTTCAGTAGAGCAAGTGTTTTAGAAAGAATAATTAAATACAGAAACTTGTATTCATTCATTGATGTTTAACACTGTACATCATTAAATAAAATGGATGTATTTTAATCAACATGTATTTAATGCTGATATAATTCCAGAATACAGTTAATGATACTTTATAATTGGACTGTGAACAATCACATAATAAATGAAAAACCCAACGGAAAAGAACGTTCCGGCACCTATGTAAACATCTTTACAGCCATACCTAGGGCTACGTTTGAATTGTAATAAGAAAGAACCATAGTGAAAAAGGAACACAATGGCATAGAAATTCCTAGGGGCTTGCTCAGCTGGTGTTCGTGCAGCAGAACAGAAACCTCTGCATCTATCCATGTCACATTAACCTCAAACCGCCATCCACAAAATTGCAGGGACAGGATTATTCACCTTGACGCAGTAGTATGAGGTGAAATATGGGAATTACTGAGAGAGAGGAGGACCAATGTAAAGGATGTTCCCCTCCCAATGCAGTGAATGGAGTTCTCAGGGTAAGAAATTACCGGTTAAAAATTTGGGGTCTCTTGGAAGCCTCAGCAAGACTTAAGCCACCTCTCAGCTGATAAGGACTTTGCTGGGATTTTCTAAGATTGTAAAAGGTAAATTTTTTAGTGTAACTAGCCAGACAATGTTTAAAGTGAGGTGGGCAGAAGGTCCATTCAAAGCCCCTTCCACTCTCTTAGGTATGGAATTATTGGCAATGAATCCTAGATCTGTCCAAAATGCCTTTCTTCCCTAATCCCACCTTCCTCATTTCCACCTTCTGCTGAGGTGGATAACAAACAGGCATTTGGTACGCTTGCCTTTATTGGTCAACGCATTGAGTATAGAGTCATAGAGCCCTACAGCACAGAGGCAGGTCCTTCGGCCCAAACTGGTCCATGACAACCAAAATGTCCATCCATGCTAACCCCATTTTTCTGCACTTGGCCTATACCCTTCTCAATCTTTCCTATCCATGTATTCATCCAAATACCTTTTAAATATTGTTCATGTACCCACCTCAACCACTTCCACTGGCAGCTCATTCCATATGCGTAGAACCCTCGGCGTAAAAAAAGTTCCCCCTCAGGTTCCCATGTATCCTTCCCCTCTTACCTTAAACTGATGCCCTCTAACCCTTGATTTTCCCAACCCTGGGAAAATAGACTGTGGGCATTCACCCTATCCATGCCTCTCATGATCTTATACACTTCTATAAGATCCCCCTATGTCTCCTATGCTCTAAAGAAAAAGTCCTAGCTTGACCAACCTCTCCCTATAACTCAGTCCCTTGAGTCCTGGCAACATCCTTGTAAATTTCTTCTGCATGCTTTCCAGTTTAATAACATCCTTCCTATGGCAAGGAGACCAAAACTGAACACAATACTTCAAGTGCGGTCTCACCAATGTCCTGTACAACTGCAACATAACTTCCCAACTTCTGTACTCAATGCTCTGACTGATGAAGGCCAGTGTGCCAAAAGCCTTCTTCACTGCCCTGCCTACCTGTGACTCCTCTTTTAGAGAACCGTGCACCTGAACTCCAAGGTCCCTCTGTTCCATTACACTCTTTACAGCTCTGCCATTCACTGTGAAACTCCTCCCTTGATTTGACTTTCTAAAGTGCAACACCTCACACTCCATTTGCCACTTCTCTGCCCACTTCCCCAGCTGATCAAGATCCTGCTGCAATTTCTGATAACCTACCGCATTGTCCACGTTACCACCTATTTTAATGTCGTCCACAAACTTACTAATCAAAGCCTTGTACGTTCTCATTCAAATCATTGATATAGATAACAAACAGCAATGGGCCCAGCACAGAACCCTGAGGCACAGCACTATTCACAGGCCTCCAGTCTTACAGCATCCTTCCACTATTAGTCTCTGCTTCCTACCATCAAGCCAATTGTGAATCCAATTTGCCAGCTCTCCCTGGATTCTACGCCATCTAACTTTCCAGAGCAATCGACCATGTGGAACCTTATCAAAGGCCTTATTGAAATCCACGTAGACTATGTCTACTGCCCTGCCCTCATCAACCTTCCTGGTCACTTCATCAAAGAACTCTAAGAAATCTGTGAGGCATGATCTCCCATGAACTAAGCCATGCTGACCACTCCTAATCAATCCCTGTTTTTCTAAATGCATGTATCTCTTATCCCTCAGAACCTTCTCAAGCAACTTACCTACTACAGATGTTAAGCTTACTGGTCTATACTTCCCAGGTCTTTCTTTGCAGCTCTTCTTGAATAAGGACATGACATTCGCTACCTTCCAGTCTTCTGGGACCTCATCCATGGCTAATGATGATGCAAATATATCAGCCAGGGCCCTGCAATTTCTTCTCTAGCCTCTTGTAGGGTTCTTGGATATATCTGATCAGGATCAGGAGATTTATCCACCTTCATACATTCTAATACTTCCAACACAATAGGAATTGGGAGGTCGTGTTCACCTGTACAGGACATTGGTTAGGTCACTTTTAGAATGCTGCATGCAATTCTGGTTTCCCTGATTTGTTGTGAAACCTGAAAGGGTTCAGAATGGATTTACAAGGAAGTTGCCAGGGTTGGAGGGTCTGAGCTATAGGGAGAGGCTAATAGGCCAGGTCTATTTTCCCTGGAGCAGGGAGGCTGAGGTGTGACCTTATAGAGCTTTATAAAACCATGAGAGGTGCAGATAGAGTGAATAGACAAGATTTTTTCCCTGGGGTGGAAGAATCCAAAACTAGAGGGCAGGGCATAGGTTTAAGCTGAGGGGCAAAGATTTAAAAGGGACCTAAGGGGCAACTTTTTCACACAGAAGTTGGTGCATGTATGGAAAGAGCTGCTAGAGAGGGTGGTGGAGTCAGGTACAATTACAACATTTAAAAGACATCTGGCTGAGTATATGATTAGGAAGCGTTTAGAAGGATATAGTCCAAATGCTGGAAAATGGGACTAGATTAATTTAGGACATCGGCATGGATGAGTTGAAATGAAGGGTCTGTTTCCATGCTGTACATCTCTATGACACTATGACTCTAACCGTTCTTCAGTCTTCAGGAGCCCAGGAATTTCAAAACCATTGTCGGTTATGTACTATATTCTCCAGTGAGTATTGAAACCTGGATAACTTTAAAATGAGATAGGCTTTGTTACTTGAATCAAGTTAGCTCTTGTAAGCTACAGCTTAATCAAACTACAGGCAGTTCCTAATTTATGAATATCTGACTTACAAAGGTTCATAGTCACAAATGCAATCACGTGCAGCGGTGTATTATTATTAATTTTAAAGATCCGACATGCAAACATTTCCTCGTACATACAGACAGCTATTTTACATTGTTCTGCATTGTGTTCAGAACCTGTTCGCAATCTGCATCCTGCCTGTATAATGTCACACCCCAATATGGAGAAACAATAAGGAAGCTTCATTCATAAACATTTCAAAGCATAGAATGAGGAAAGGCCATTCAGCCCAACAATTCAAGTGTTTGCACAAACCACTTGCCAACTTATTTGTGGTTTCTGTTCACATCATTTGAATCCACCAAATTCTTCAAAATGACCCCCAATAGTCTATCGAGTGCAAAATTAGAATATCTACCCACTCCTACTTAGTAATCTTCCAACCTTAAATCTTGCTTTCTAATAGATACCAATGTTGCAGACTTTGCAACAATCATGTTCCATTTCATTTCCCGTTCAGTTCTTGCTGAAGGTCTTAGTCTAGTTCAGATTAATTATTTCTGCTCTGATCCTCAGTGGCTTTAAAGTGATTTTATTTTTCAATATCCCCTTGATTTCAGAATGCTATTTTAATTAACTGCAAGAAATTTGCCATCTTTAGTTATTCTCAACATCTTCCATATTATTCTCTTCCATAATATTGGAATTCTCAGTCAAACTATGGCCCTGTTCTTTGGCACAGGAATGATTCAGATTCTCCCAGTGCAAATGGAATGAGGACAGGTAGTTTTTCTCTATTTCTTTTGCCTCGTGCATGTCCTTTGCACTGCCCGGTGGCATTTGTACCTCAAATGTCTTGTCAAACTTGGTGTAATCAACTCGGAATGCACCTTTCTCTAAGAGGATGCAAGACTCAAACCGGTGGCCCCAGAGAATCTCATCTTCTTTATAGGAAGTCCTTGCTTGGCAGGTCATTCCTGTAAGTGAACAAAAATAAAGGGCAACTCAACAATTGTCTTAGTTCTTTCATTTGCACATTTCTTAGAGAAGTGGAACTTGATTAAATATGTAAATAGAAGACCATAAGAACTATCAGACTAGAGGTTGTAGGAGTCAAAAGTAGGCAATTCAGCCCATCGTGCCTTCTCTGCCATTCAATGAGACCATAGCTGGTCTGATCACCTTCAGCTCCACTTTTCTGCCTTTTCCCAATTCCTTTGATTCCCATACTTAGTAAAAACCTGTCTGTGTCAGCCTTGAATATACTAACATCTGAGTTTTGTCAGCCCTCTGAGATAAGGAATCTATGGATTCACTACCCTCTGAGAGAAGAAATTCTTCTTTGCCTCTGTCTCATATGGATGATGCTTTATTATTTCCTCTGGATCCTCCCACAAAGGGATACAACAACTCTGTATTTACCCTATCAAGTCCCCAACGAATCTCATATGTTTCAATAAGCTCACCTCTCATTCATCTAAACTCCAATGGATATAGGCCCAACCTACTCAACCTCTCCCCATCAGACAGTCCTTCCATTCCTAAGAGCATGAGAAATTGGAACAGGAGTAGGCCATCTGAACCCTTCAGCTAGCTATGCCATTCAATACAATGGTGGCTGCCTTTGTAAATCATTTCTGTTTTCTGTTTGTATTCCCATATCCATTAATTCAATCAGTGTCAAATATCTATCAACCTTCGTCTGAAGTATATTTAACATCGATAGATTTCTGGGATAGAGAGTTCCAAAGATCCACAACCCTTTAAGTAAAGAACTTTTTCATTTCACCTGTAAATAGTCAATCACCTAACCTGAAAATACAACTCTTGAACTGAACATTCCAGCAGAGAAATTAATCTCTTGTAGCAAGATTTTTGTACATTTCAATGAGTTCATCTCTCATTGTTCTAAACTCCAGAGAATATTGACCCACGCAAGTTCCACATTTTGGTGCAGTTAAGAGATTAAAGTAGGATGCAACGAACCTGTGGATTCCACTATGCCTTCCAGGATTACGATCATTTCAAACTGTTCCCTCTTCATTGACTCAGCACACATTTTCCAGAAAGGACTGTTCTCATTGATGACGTGGCTAATGGTCTGGGGTTCTACCAGGAAAAGGCGGTCTTTCCCTGTGTCGTAGCCAAGGTTGATTTCTGTTTGATTTAGAGGTATGAATTCACCCTCCTTTGTTTGTCTAGATTTAATGAGCTTGGCCCTTAGTTTTGCATCAACCATATGGCTTTCCCTCAGGTCGCCAATTCTAAACATCAAGCAAAGTTCATCATCCCTGTGTGATATTACTGCATATTTACTAAACTTCAGGGTCTCAGCCCGCTTCTTGGGACGAGAAATCTTCACAAACACACAGCCCACCATCATGGCATCAATCATTGAACCAACGATGCATTGAGCTATAAGTAAAATGACACCTTCTGCACAATTAGACGTCACCATACGAGACCCATAGCCAATTGTCCTTTGACTTTCAATAGATAACAGTAAGGCAGAAATGAAGCCATCCACATTATCAAAGCAGGGTTTCCAATCGGTTTCACCTGCGTGGTTAATATCACCTCTAATGTATGCATCCAGGAAATACAAAAATCCAAAAGTTGCCCAAGTCAAAAGATAACACATCATGAAGACAAAGAGAAACCAGCGGTACTTCAAATCTACTACAGTAGTGAAAATGTCAAACAAGAACTTGTGCTTCTCTTCAATGTATCCAAGATTGACTTGGCATTTCCCATCTTTCATCACATAACGCTGTCGCTTCTGCTGACATGCAAATGTGAACTGTTGCTGGTTGTCATTCATCAGCTTGCACCTTTGTTTTAGAGAACCAGGATAAGATAAGACACTTTTTGCTGAAGCTCGTAAATTCCGAGAATGGTTTGGAAGATCAGGTAAGCTGCCAGCATGCCTTGGATACCATGTTTTGGAATTGAAGTCTTGGAAATTTGAGCCACTAGTAAATATCCGATGGTGCCTGGGACACTCATCCACATTGATGGCCACATTTAATTTCTGCTTGGAGTTTGAGTTGGGGGCAGCTGGTGGGCAATTTGTGGATGGCCTGAAATCAAAATGCAGAGATGATGCATCATTGGTTGTCTGTGTCTCACGGTTCTCCCTGCTGGTCAATGGCTTTAGGTTTGATATAATGCTAGTTCTCCCAGAAGATGAGGAATCTCTATGTTGTGAAGATTTTGGAATCTCTCCTGATGTTGCTATCAACTTGGTTTCTGGCTGTAATTGGAAAAATAATTGAAATATTTTACGTTTTGCTTAACAATTATCTCCATGTCGAATAATAAAATACATGCAATGAAATTGTGACTTTGGGTACAGGTTCCTCTGATTGTATTCAATGGAGACTGGAGATCTCTACAGTGGCTGGCAAGTTTGATCACATGTTGTCAATTTGTCATTACTACCCAAAGTCAAAAATAACTCCTCCTATCCTGGAATACTAGGGCAAACTGCAATGTTCCTACTGATCCCATATAACTCAATATGGACAGTTGCTTCAACATGGGCTTCTCCTACTCTAAGGCATTGTCTGGATAAACTCAATCAGGCATCAGATGGATTAATTAATTTCAACTAGATCTTGGATTTCGTTAACTGAATTGCTTGCCATTGTTTAATGCCTATAAAGTGAATTCCTCTATGCTCTCTGTGTTGACTCTCCACTACTCTAATTATCCTCATTCCTATCCCTATAAAGTTGTAGGACTAGTCTTTGCTTTGTGATAAAACTGGGAATCTTTCAAGACTCAAGCAAGCTATTATTTAATTATGATCTTCTCTCTTCTGTTCTACCTCATTTCGTTTTCTATTATGGTCCTTCTCACATTGGTAAAACGCTGCGATTATTCAAACCAGTTCCCCATTTGTTTGCAATTCCATAGTTGAACACAAAGCACAAATAATGTAGAAGTGACAGTAATGGTTATCTATTCTGAAAATTATGCACTTGTGTCTGGATTTGACTGAAAGTGCAGTGTGGAATCTCAATGCTGTACCCTGCCATACGTACTCCTCATTCTAAGGCTTACAATTACAAATCAAGTGATTAACTTTAATCCACCAATGTTACCACAGATGAAACAATCCTGGATTGTGGAACAAAATAGGTGATAATGAATCAAAATATGACTCTTTTTTTTCTATCCACTTTAATTGAAAGAGAACAGAGACCAATGTAGAATGGTCGGCTATCACCTATTTTGAAGTTAATAGCCCAAGATGAACTTCATCTCCATCTCATGAAGGGGAGACATGATGCGGAGATGCCGGTGTTGGACAGGGGTGGACAAAGTCGGAATTCACACGACACCAGATACAGTCCAACAGGCTTTTTTGAAATCACAAGCTTTCAGAGCAGCACTCCGAAAGCCTGTGATCTAAAATAAACTTGTTGGACCATAATCTGGTGTCATGTGACCTCTGACCATGGAGAGGAGAGACAGACCAGCAGAAGCTTACAGCGTGGCACACAAAGAGCTTTCTTTCTCCCTGTTTCTCCTTAAAGGTGCTGATTCTAACGAGAACTGGCCATGAGTACCTGTTAAATATTTACCTAAAATGATGTCCCTGGACGGTGGGAATTGACTTCCTATTGCTGTTGACAAGAATCACAGGAAAGTCTGACCATCTCCTGATATGACAGCCATTCTCCCTGCAGTGGTTGTGTATCAGCTATCGAGAGCTGTAGCTTGCTGTTAATGCAGAAAATTGATCCTGTGTCTGCGTGGATTTCTTCCGGGTGCTCCAGTTTCCTTGCACAGTCCAAAGATGTGCAGGTTAGGTGGATTGGCCATGCTAAATTGCCCTGTAGTGTCCAAGGATGTGAAAGCTAGGTGGATTAGCTATGGCAAATGCAAGGTTATGTGGATAGGGTGAAGGGGTGGTGTGGGTCTGGATAGGATGCTCTTTGGAGGGTTAGTGCAGACTCAATAGGCCATATATCTACTATCTGCACTGTAGGGATTTTATGATTCTAAGATTTTAACATGTGCCCCAAAAAGAGGAGTTTTGAACTTTCTCATTGGCACCAGTATTACACCATACAATGTCTTTATCCAACATGTCATTCGGGGTATGGCTTTTATTCAAAAGTGGTGAGCCTTTTGTTTCTGGTCTGTTTTTAATTACTCAATTTAGGGGTTAGATGATGTTGTAGAAGTTGATATTGCTGGATGATTAATCCACAGACCCAGGTAATGTCCTGGGCACCTGGGTTTGAATCCCACCATGGCAAATGGTGAAATTTGAATTTGGTAATAATCTGGAAGTAAGAGTCTAATGATAACCAAGAATCCATTGTCAATTGATATAACAAGGTTTAGAGCTGGATGAACACAGCAGGCTAAGCGGCATCAGAGGAGCAGGAA